GTTCATGCTTCTCTTTTAGCGAGTATTCAACCCTGCTGAACTTCAGTTCAGCAACTCTGCACTCCGACCTCGAGTGAAAGAACTTCTTACTAGGGATCAATATGCTGTAACATTACTCATTCTTTTGACTTGTGATTTACAAGCAGCAGACGCCACCTCCATGATAAACAGAAACATTAACATTTCATGTAACTACAGCTGCATGCACCACCTTTACTGATTTCAGAGTTCAAGTTAAAAAGAGTGATCTTATCTAGAGGTTTCTCGAGGTTTGTTCTTCTGATCAGCTTGATGTTAAAAATTTTAATATATATTGGTCAATGATGTCATTAAAATAGTCAACATTTATTTGAAATTATTTCTTACAATCTCTCTCAAACATGATACAATGTGTTTATAATTTGTGTACCCTGACTACTGAAGCACAACCATTTCAGTTGTTATTTGCTTTATTAACAGACCTTCGAGCAACATTAAATCACTGTGGTCACTCATAGTAAGTTTCGAGATAAGTGATGGTTATAATCTTGTGTATATACAATATACACAGAGGGACTGGAAAAATAGAACCCCTCGTATAATGTAATACAGCCCAATAAAACAGCCATGAAATAAATACTTCCTCTGTTGACTTGGATTGCATTATACTGGAAGGTGTTTCTTACATTACATTTCAAAGTCTCAACTAAAAGTGAATATCAGTTTCACATAGATAGTATTTATTGCAGAGCTTTTTCTATTGAATTGTATTATATTGTACAGCGGTCTCAGTGTATGTGGCTGTCTCTGTCTATTTCTTGGGATTGGGCATCCAGGAGCCAGGCTGGAATGTGTTTGCAGTGCTGGTGGGGTCTTCGCTGAGCTCTTGCTTGCCGAAGCTGGTGGCTGCTGCATGGCCCTTGGCCAAAGTCTTTGTAGGAGTTGCCACCAGACCTTCCTCATACTCCTTTGCCTGTAGGACCAGATCTCTCTCATCCAGCTCCTGGGCCTTTATTTTGATCTGCACCCTGTTAGACTCATTCTTCCGCAGCTCCTATAAAATACACAGATGGACATACATTCATATTCAGGGTTTCTGCAGTGTTCACCAAATTAAATGTAACACCTTTTTAATACCACATACTGGAGAATGGTATTTAATACCTTTTTCATGCTTGTACCAGTGAAAGAATGATGGAAAACTAGTTGGAACGATATGGCCTAGAGTTATTTATTAAATGCATGAATGTATTGACATTCATATCACATTTTTGTCAGTACTTCCCAGCTATATACAACAGTAATTCCTAGTAATATACTGAATCATTTAAAGTGACCTGGAACCTGATGATGGATGGATTAACCAATTAAAATGAACTCTTAACTCTGCAAAAATCGACACTTCCCAATTATGAGTCAATGAGCTTCCAACCTACTGTGCAGTGTTTGCTACAGCCTCCTGTGCATGCCAGTGTCACAGCAATCCCACTTATAGTTTATAGATGTATAAAGTCACCCGACAGCACGCAACCACATACAAAACAAAAAAACCATATGACTAATGTTACTGTCTATGCCAGGCCAGAAAAAGTATTCAAGACCTTCGTCAATGACATTCAAGAGTATAATAACTTTATTATAGATAGAATAGAATTATTGGTTACGTGTTGTCTGTGACACTGAGCTTTACAGGTGGGTGATATGGAAGAAGTCTTCTATGTCTATAATTTTTTATCACGATACCAATATATTTCATAATATATTACATTTTTTGGAAAATAATTTCAAAAACAGTTAGTGAATAAATTAATCAAGCAGGAATGTGGGTTTTTGACTCATTGAAATATATTGAATACCTGACAAATCAAGATTTTTTGTCACATTTTATATAAATAATAAAAATCCAATAAAGCAGTCCTGCTTATAAATTGACAACATTTCCCACTATGGCTGCCTAGATCAATTAAAGCAATTAAACAATATGGCAAAATCTCTGACGCTTGACAAATATATCGCCCACCCCATACCAGACATCATCTACAAAAGGTCTGTGGTATTGGAAATGTTGAGGCGGCAGTTTCCTGAAGATTTGAGAAAATGGAGATTGACTACAAGATTACTTAATGGAACCTCCAAACTGTCCTGCAAACTGAACCAGTGATAATTCTCCCTCTGTAATCAGCTGCCTCTGTTTTCTTTTAGTGCACGGCACAAAAAGCCAACTGCTCACTAGTCAAAAGTAGAGGAGACACGAAGTTGGACTTGGGCATCTTCCAGGAACAAATGTGTGTGTCTGTCGAGTATAAAGTAGGACATTTACTAGAAAAAGAACAAGTGTGTTCAGTTAACCTATATTGGTCCAATAAACCCTGGTTAAAATTGTAGTGCTTGGAACGGATTGGTAAACTAACATGACAGGAGGCATTCGCAATATAAACAACCATTCCAGCTCATGGAAACAATTATAACCTGAACAAAGTCCACCGGTGGAATAGTTACCCACTTGAGCCCCAGCTAGTGTGTCCAGAGATGTTAGCCTTTCCCTAGCATGGGAAACCAAAAAGGAAGGGAGGACTGGGCATAATGCTGTTGTGTGTTGGCAGAACTAAAGGACTGGAAAAGAGAGGGGAGAGCCGTGGCCAAAAAGCCCCGCTTTGGGGGGGGGGGACAAACATACTGAGCTGCTTTTCCAGCCTGTTAATGACAGGATTTAATCCAATCAATTTATGTCGGCTTGGACCGGGAATAGAGGGAGCGTGACAAGGGGTAGGGTAATGTGCTGGGAGTGAAGCCTTGGCCACATCAACACTGTCCAGCTGTCGATGGCAGCTATTGGGCAAACGCAAGGCAGAAAATTGGAAGAGAATGTTCTGGCAATAGAGGCAGGGGATGGCATTGGCCACTGGTAGGGAGAGAGGACAGAGAGATAGAAAGAGTGCCTGGGTATTGGACCTTCCAAGGGATTTCCTATAGACCCACATTTCGCCGGCCAAATAATTTCCAGCATTCTCACATTTAAAGAGCAATAAACCCAATGAGAGGTACACGAGGGGAAAAACTGCACTCCTCCACCATTCCCATCTTGGAGACTGCCAGAAATAAAACACAAAAAGCCAAGATGCAGGCTTTTGCTGGGAAAAAAAGAAAGTAAACTAGGACATGGTGTCAGTGAGCCCCTTGTTCAGAGGCTGTCTTTGCTCTCCGTCTCGCCATCAATGCACTTCAGCTGCTGTTTATTTTAACACCTGTCCCCCAAAGTTCCTGGATTCAGTTCGAAAACTGTAAGATAAAACAAATCAAAGCCTTTCCTCTCCATCTTTGCTTCTTTCCCTCCCTTATAACCATTCCCCCAGAGTCCAACCATCAGCACAGCGGGGAGGCTAGAAGGGAGGGGGGAGACGTACCTCGATGGAGGGGGGCTCCCTCCGTCTGCCTCGGATCCAAGCTGGAGGAGTAGAAGAGAGGAGGAAGAAAAAGAGGAGTGAGAACACCCACACAAACATACGCTGCACAAACAAAACCCGCAGTCATATTTAGAGGCTGCGGCTATGGCATCGCTGAGTTTCAGGGCACTACAGTAGCTCGGTGCAACTAATGAGTAACCAAGCTAGTTTGGTTGGTAGTTTTCAGTTTGTTTTGTATTCATTTCACTTCACAAACGATAGGGAAACATGCAGAATGGCAACACATCCAAGTTATACACACGATAAACTCAAAACACTGATACCGCTGTAGTCTAGGCAGAGCAGGGCCACTGAGTGCTGTGTCTCAGAAGAGAAAGTGTGGATCTGCTCTGATCTTTGAATTTGAAAGTACCCACTCCGTCATCCTCCATCAGTACCTCTGTCCTTCTTTCTCCTCCTGAGTAGAACTGTGTCTGTCTGTCATCTCTCTTTTTTTTTTTTTTTTAAGGAGCTCTATTTTGGCTGAGCTGGCTGCATAGCAGAGCAGGTTAAAGGGAGCCAGAAAGGGAGAGAGAGAGAGAGAGAGAGAGAGAGAGAGAGAGAGAGAGAGAGAGAGAGAGAGAGAGAAGAGATTTTCTAACTCTTCCTCCAGCTAGCACAGGGATTCTGGGCCTCTTTTATCCCTTTCTTATTTGCATCCTGATGAAAATGCATGAGGGATGGGGCGAAGCAGGATGAGGGGTTTAAGGTGGATAAAGCCAGTCTGAGACAGAGGGAACAGTTTGTATCCAGTTGTAAGAAATTTGAAACACTATTTTATGGTACGGTTGTATAACACCAGCAGAAGGCGTCTTTGATAAACTCATGAATACGCTTTTCCCAACCCCCATCTCACAGTATGATAAAAAAAAGAAGGAAAATCAGTGGATTAGCCTAGGCCCCAATAGATGCTGCCATGAATTTGTTATTCCATTTTATTTGTGCAGCACTTTGTGTACTCTGCTGGGTAGCTCTTTTGTTAACATTGTCATTTATCCATGATAGTGATAGTTAAAGTGTGTAACAGTGATGCTGCAGTCCAGACTTACCGTCCCACTCCATCGGTATGCTGCCTTCTATATATTCATATTCTGTAGGATTGGCTGCCACTACCATCCGCTTGGCACGGACGAGCCGTCCTGGGAAACCAAAAAAAAAAGACAGCGAGAGGGAGCATGAGTGAGATGGAGATGCTCAACAATGATGCATACAAAACGCAAAGGAATACAAACAAACACAAAGAGGCACAGATACAATGCTCTCTGTCTCCTGCTCGCACAGACACACAGATACAGACAGACGCACAGACACACAAATACACAGAGGGATGACAGCACTGTGACAGGCCATGGATGATTACCTCGTGGCCCTCGGGCCCTTCTCCTCAGATCTCGCTGAGTGGCTCCAAATCTGGGCTAAGCCTTTATGCAAATCAGCCTCCCTTTAACCCAACCAACCACAGCCCCCCTCACTGACAACCTCTTCCAATCACAGCGCTCTGGCTAACAATGCCCTCCAAAATCAACATCAAGCCGAGCAGGAGACAAAAGAGGTCAGATATCACAGAGAACAGGAGAGGCACGAGCTGCGTGGAATATTAAGTGCTCCTTTCCCTATCTGTATACAGCACGACGCTCGCTAGCAGCAAGGCCACCGCCAATTATTTTGGTCGAATCTGCTGATTAGACAAGTTTGGCTGGCACACAATGACATGGAGATGGAGATGGAGGTGGGGGGGGGGTAGGAGGTGTGGGGGGAGGCATTGGAGAGAGATAGAGGCAGAATAAGAGAGAGAGTGAGAGAATTAAAAAGAGCCGGTTATGGTTGTGTCTTTGTGTGGTGCTGCGAAGCTTCATACAGTGATCACTAATAACAAGTGCTGTGTTTCCATAGTTTCTCCTCGCAGGTAGCCGGATGTCCTTCCATCGCTCCCATCCCTCCGAGAAATGATGAGCAACGGAGGAGGAGGAGGTAGAAGGAGGGAGAGAGAGAGAGAGAGAGAGAGAGAGAGAGAAAAAAGAGAGCGAGAGAGAGAGATGATGCATGGCAAACATGGCTAGGAGGAGAGAAATGGATGGGCAAGGAAAACAACACGCTCCAAAACACAGACAATCTGTCAGGATTCCATCACCGTTTCTCCGCAGCTGACTGGACATGGACAAATGGAGGCAACCACCTCCATGCACACCGCAGACTGATGGCCTTAATGTTTACTTCAGCCATAACAGATAGTTATGGCAAAGGGATGGATGAATGATGGCATTCAAAAGTGGCTATGTGTGTGTGTATATATAGGAGGCTGTGTTGTTGCTTTGCTTGTGCCTTCTTAATAAAAGTTCTTAAACCAAATCTGTTTGGTTTTAAACTAATTCCACTGAAGATGGAAAATATTTTTCATGCATGTGCTGGTTTGTAATTATGCCTTATGAGGATGATTCCTTTCCATACTTTATCCAGCCTATATAGTAATCAGGTCAGCTAATTAGGCTAGTATTGCTTTAGTTCTGCTTTGGTTCCCACTAGATTGTCACTATAGGGCCTCACAGGCTCCAGCTCTGCGGCTTTACTTTCCTGATATCCAGGTCTGACAAAAACACTGCATTTTCTCTCACCTTATCTGCAAAGCTAGCCCAGCAACGTGCAAATCACATTCTATGATTCTCACATTTGTTTACATGTATGCCTTAAAATGTCTTCTGAGAAACAGTTTCCTAGAAAACCCCCACGATAGCAGAACAAAAACATCTGCCAGCAAACAAAAGGCTGTGTTCTCTAGGCAATACTAACAAATACATTTAACAGGTATGCTAATTATAAACAGATCGTATCCATATTTGCATTGGGTGTGGGTGGCAGCAGACTGAAATTGTACAATTATGATACAGTCCCCACAAGCAATGTGCTTAGCTACAGCTAATGCCTAACTAATAAGCATAAAGAGAGGCACCCACTTTTTCTGTCTCTCTCTCTGCTAGGTTGCATCTCCCCCTCTACTCTCTGTTACATTCTAACATGGCTCTCCTCTTGTCTTGTTGCTTTCGCAGCATGACTAAACCCCTTCCACCATGTCTTTTATCCTTGGATTTGAATAACAAATACAGTATGTACATACATTTACGAAACATGGCTGATCCTCCCACCACATACACATTGGGAGGAGGCTTGTCAGTCTGATTGGGGTGAATCTTGCTGTCTTTGTAATCTCCGATCTGGGACAACTGCAGGATAACACATAAGCCAATACTATATAGCATTCTCTGACAAAAGTTCAGAGGAAACACACTACTTTCCCTCTGCTATAGCCCTGCTCTTCAGTAATCTAGCATAACAGAATTGGCTGGCCCAGCACTTTATTTGCACAAAGATTTCTCATTTTAAGGGGGCTGCCTGCAACTAACAATTACAGTCATTACTAATTAATCTACAGTTTAAAAAAAAGTAGTTCTTTATTTTTCGAATCAAACACATCCGAGCATCTATATATTCTTTTAAAAATTTGATTGCTTAACAACTTAATCTATCAGAAGTTACCACAGCCCAAAGTGATGTCTACAATTCTAATGAAATATAAAATGAAGAAAAGCAATAAACCCTTCATATTTAAAAGCTGTCACTAGTAAATGTAACAGCTGTTCAAATCACAAAAGAATGCAAAGACACAATTTTTTTTTTCTATCACAAGTGAATCCATGGCTGTGTCTTAAAATCATGCTTGTCTTGCTTGGAATCATACATTTGTGTCAACATACTACAAAGTTGCCTTCCTTGTCTGTCTAAAAAGTACAACATTTTTTATTAAGAAACATTAAGTAGATTTAACTAATACAAAATATAAATTAAAATCAGTTTATGATCGACTGACTGAGTTAGCTTCATATAGTGTATAGTTTAGGATCCCTGACACTGACAGTTATCAAACTGGGTATAAGCTATCTTACTGCTTCACAGTTCAGACATACACACACCTTCTCCTTCAGAGAGAGAGAGAGAGAGAGAGAGAGAGAGAGAGAGAGAGAGAGAGAGAGAGAGATGTATGAAAGGTGTTAGGAGCTCTCGATCTCAGCGGGGCCCCTTGTGACAGGTCTGCCTTCTCATCACTCACTAGGGGAAACCTACTTACCAGTCAAATGCGCACACACACACACACACATACACACACACACGCACATGCACACTCTGGCTAGGGAGCAGGCAGATTAACCTGAGGGACAGGAGCGAGGACGCTGCCTCTTACCGTGAAGGACAAACGCAGCACTGCGTTGGAGAGGGGGAGGGGCCAGCGGCAGGAGGAATGAAATCCCACTGCATAAATATTCATGAGCCATCTCACCTGTCTGAGCGCGGCTCATCTGAGAGCCTAGCCGTGAGGGGGGAGGGGAGAGGAAAGGGAGGAAGGGAGGAGACAGGGAGGCAGGATGGGTGAGGGGTTGCCGTGGCAGCCAGATCGGGAGCCAATCAAATGGCAGGTACGCCTATGCTTCCTGTTCGTTAGAGTAGGACGTGATGCGCTCCGAGGGCTGCTCTTTGAACCCTTAACACACCCCGCTAAACTCCATCACCTACTTCAACACACACACACCCATACTCACACACACACACACACACACACACAAAACCCCCAACTTCACACATCAGCTCCCAGGTGAGTACTGCTGGGGGCGACCTGAGAGGTTTTTCACCTCCACAATGTCATTCTGGGTGTCTTGGGCTGTCTCTCTCATGGTGTGCACTCTGTCTTTGATTACAGACACAAGATGTCAGGGGAACACACTTCGATTGGCAACATCCGGGTATGAAGAGCCCTTGAAACAGAAACACAATGAGCTCCCTGCATCTGACTGCAACTAGAAGACCTACATCTGGTGCACCTCATCATCAACACCGGCGTCTATCCTGAGAAACACTAGCCTTCGTTCACTTGTCTCTGAACAGATTGCACCACTTGCACGGTATTCACCTTCAGCTCAATATGAGAGCAGCTTTCTCAGGCGTCGTGGATGTGAAAAGGTAAAACAGTGACTTCCAAGGCCTCACACTGTGGTGAAACAAAAAGCCGCCCTGAAGCCAGTGAGCCCATCAGCCCAAGTTGAGCTTAGTTTATTCCCCTCCAGCTGAGCTGCGTGCTGGAGAGGGACAGGGGACCAGTACATGCATGGTAATGGACAGCTTTATGAAGATGGAGTGATCGGATAAGCATCAGTGATACAAGGACAACCAGGTACCAATACTGACACCCTCTCCTTCTCGCTCTCTCTTCCTCCAATCTATTTCCACGGGAAAAAAATGGAGGGGATGTGTGAGGCCTGTAACCATGGTTACCCATTAGCCCTGAGCCTAGTGACGCGGGATGAGGTTTAGAGGGAAAAGGCCTGCCGTTGTTTTGCATCAGTTCTGGTGAGAGGAGGAGCTTAGGCGTAAAGTAGGCCTGCTGCGGCTGTTCAGGGTTTTTTTTATTATTATTTTTTTATTCAGTCCTCATTCTGTTTGTCCCTGTTGCTGTCGATCCCGCTGAGGCTTGAGCGACTCACGGCAGAACAGAGAAGAATAATTCATATAAAAGTAATAACATGCTGAAAAGAATACTCTGATTTCCCCTGTGTGTTACTTTTAACTAAACGCGGGCGTACTTGAGGGTGGAAGGGATACTTAAGCCCCTTCCACTTAAGACCACCCATCCCTCTTGAAGTTTCTTCCCGATGGGTTATAGAAAAGGACCACGGCAAGCCAGGAAGTCAGCGTCCTTTGTGAGGCTGTGGAGCGGTGTGGACACCCCTCCTTCCTCCCCAGCTCCTCTGAGGCCCCATGCGTGTGATGTCCATACACCAAGCTGTCCACCCCTTTCTATTCACCTCCATCACTCTCATCCAACCCCCTTCCTTTTCCTTCCATTGCACCTTCAGTCCCCCCCACTCTCTCTCTCCATTAACCTACCTCCACCTTCTATCTCTCCCCCTATATCTGTCTCCCTGTTCCACCCACTCATTTCACCCTCTTTCTGTCAGAAACCCTCCTTTCACTTTCACTCTCTCCATTCTTCCCCCACTCTATAATTTCACCCCATATGTCAGCATCCCCCTTGTTCTTTGTCACTCACTTTCTATACCCCACCTTCTTTTCCACCCTCTGTGAGTCTCCCTCGGCCTTATCTTTCCTTCCTTCCTCCTAGCCTTATTTCTCTCTGCCTGTCTGCTTTATTAAAATATTCTGAATTGAATAAGCAGCGGCAGGCTCCAGGAGATGTCTGCTTGTGTGTCGGTCTGTCTGTCAGTCTTTCTGGCTGAGTTGCTGACAGACAAGGAGCCCCGAGGTGTCAAAACATCTTGCTGGCCATCTGACCAGAGAGAGACATGAATGCATTGGACAGTGAATCACATCCGGGCCAAAAGGAAGAAATGATGTCCGTGATTGCTCACCAGATAGCAAATCAGTTTGCAGGAAGCACAAACAATCGAATTCGTATGAAATTTGTAGGTTGTGAGACAGGTCTACTGTCTACTAGGCAGCATTTAATAGATCTGCAAATGCTAAACTACTTGATATTGGAGCTAGGCCCATTTGTAATGTTCTACCATAAGAAATAAATTTTCCCGTTTCTCATTTGCAGCATCTATCTTTTCAAATGCCTTTTTAATGAAGTAGTTAAGCCACTCCATGATGTTCCACTACATACACATACAAACACACACTTGGCAAACAGTATACAGCGAGATGAGTTAAACCCACTTGGTTTCCCTATAATGATTAAACAACCTTCATTTAAACCCCATGCATTGCAAAGCTGCTGATCAATTAACATGATTTACTGTAGCGGCTCTGGACATAGCCGTTCCATGCTAAACTGACTCGGTGTCCTACTGTAGGATAGACCTTCCTTCATCACACCCTGGGGATGACTTGTGGCAGAATAAACAGCCATTTGGACCCTCGTCTCTCTCCGCTGTGACTCTTTCCATGGAAATATGCGGCTTGAATCAACGCTCTGATGACACACAGCCATCTGTTGTTGTGTTAAGTGTGTTTGGGCATGAAGTGGAGAGAAAACACACAATCGCAGAATTTTTTTTTCCTTTAAAAAAAAAAAAAAAAAAACACAAAGCAGATACAATTGTGCGTGCGCACACACACACACACACACACACACACACACACACACACACACACACACACACACACACACACACACACACACAGCGCGTAGTTGCTATGCCACACAAACACATGTACCCAATCACAGATGCACACACTAGTACAAAAACACACACATACCTCCTCCCTCAGTCCCCAGAGTCACCCATCCTGAAATAGCAGAACTGAGGCCTTTTCAGTTTTTCACTTCATAGAACAGAGCTGGGGAATCAAATAAATAATAGACAAAGAGAGAGGGATAGTGATAGGACGACAAGTCAATGCATCTTTTCTCTGCAACAGTGTGGCACACCTCTGAAGAACCTCTGAATCCCTTCCATTCTCCACACAGTGGAGAGGACCAATAGATTAAAACTGCATGGCACACACTGCTAAAATGAATAGCGCTAAAAATACATCCTTTTCACCGAGACATGAAAGGAAACTGCCTTTCCCCTGTCCAGTATTGAGCAGCCATTGATTCCAAGACAAAGGCTACACCTCCTCAAAGAGGTAAGAAAAATAGCAATCATACAGGCAATTATTTTCAAATGTGCCTGCAGCGGCCGATAATGTCAGCGCGCCTCTCTTCCTAAATAAAGGGAGGGAAGGCAGGCGTCAAAGCTGCAGGCCCACTGCTGAAGACGAATGAGCCCATCCGCAGAATGCTTCGCTTTCATCTGGGCAGCATGACATGGCGCCCTGTGCAGTGTTAGGCAGAACTGGGCCTGGGGGACAGACGCATACAGAGAAGAATATAGATTCTCTATTCAGCTCTATGGAGCCAACACCAAGGCAAAGACCTTCTAAAGACCAGTGGCCAGATTGCCAGTGGCTTTCTCTTGTAGCCCTGCCATAGACAACAATCATTGGGGCTCCACAGCCCATAGCATAGTTCTCTCTGTGGGGCAGCAGCACACAGTCGGCCTCTTTAGCTGGACCTTTTCTTAAGACAGAGACAGAAGCAGACATTCTCCCTCTCTAGGCGTGTACTTCAGACTTAGGCCTTTTCATTTTGATGTGCAGCAGCATCTGAGGAAAGGGGGGATAGAAAGCCCTCTGCTGGGTTCAGCCCTCCACACTGCTGAACTACTCTAATGTTGTGAATAGAAATCTTCACTGGACTGGCTTCAAAGGCAGAAAATCAAGAGGCAGCAATGAAAGGGAGGGGCAAGGGAAGGAAGGACAAACTGGAGGCAAATAAAGAGGTCAACCTAGGGAGAAATCTGGGCAGTTGTTGAAATCAGATAGGACAGATTCACATGAAGAAAGGAGTTGTTTCCTTTCATTTTTCTGTCTCAGCAGCCATTAACGTCCTCATACACAGCCTACCACACACAGAATTGCTTACGCCCCAGTTTTCTAAAGTTAACAGATTGAGAGAGGTAGAAAATGGGAGCAGCAAAGCATGGATAAAGGTAGAGAGGGATTGACTGAACACTGGGGATGGACAAATAAATACAAGAAGTAAGCAGAGTCGAGAGAGAGAGAGAGAGAGAGAGAAGAAGAGAGAGACTCCTCACCTACTTTAACCACTACTCATGTGCTGCAGTGGAAAGCCCTGCGGTCCATGCCTTAAGGCCCTGAGCCCACGCTTGGCCTATCAGTTTAAGATCAAAAAGAGCTCGCTTTAGCAAGACATATGGACTGAATAATGCATCTGCTTTATTTCCACAAGGCTGGACTGGCTGAGTGGCAGATAAAAAAGGAGGCAAATGTGTGCGCCATATTGTTCTATTTGTTTATTATGAATGTATATATGAGTCTGTGTATGAGTATGTGCCTGTCTAGCTCTTATGAGCGTGTTTGTTTGGAACCAGTTTTTCTACAGGCCAACTAGTCTCTCCACAGTGTCAGTCATTGTGATTGGACAGTGAATACGGTAGCCTGTAGCGTGCTAGAAAATGGGCTTCTGTGATGTCTCATTTGAATAGTCTGACAGCCAAGGGTGGAGGAGCAGCCTTGTAATGAATTATAAATACGAGGTGGGTGCAAGTTTCCCGGCAAACTGCTGAGAAAAGGTGAAGCACAAAGTCAAGTTCAGTCAGAAACAAACCAGGCTTTGCAACCTGCAAGGATGTATGTACTGTATGATATCTAGTCAGCCTGTGCTAGTTTAAGAAAGACTTAATCTAAATTGTATAATGTGGCACCAAGAGAGGGAGACAAACACAAGCATATGTAGGTGTGATTATTCCAAGATTACTGCCGTGTGCTGTTCCCAGATTAGACTAATACACTATCTGGAATGGGAGTGAACTCTGCTTAAACATAATAATTCTGGCCAATATCACGAGGCATAACATTTTGTTACTAATAAGCCAAAAGTCCATGGCTGGTTAACTAGCAGTGTCATGTCTGGAGCAGGCAAAGGTTGTGCTCTTGGACCTGTGACCCTTGACCTGTGGCCTATAGTCTGGGTAGGACTCCCGCTGATGATGATTTATGGTGGAAAATGGCAGAGAAAGTGGGATTTATAGCCTGGATTCTGCTAATGACAAACTAGGAGAGACAGGATTTACCCACACATAGTGCATAATAATGTTTCCCCCAAAACAAGTTCATGGTAGGTGTATGAGTATGACACTTAATTATTGGAAGAATTCACAGTGTGTTTTTGTTGTCATTTGTCAGTTATGTCATTATCTTCTTCTTGTAAAAAAAACAACGTGTGTTGTGTTTCTCAAATTAAGCCAGGCCCCAGTGCCAGTATGTCACCAAAGCTCGTTCCCCTTTGCAGGGATGAGTCATCATAATAACCTACACCTCAACATCTTCCTGTCCGAGACACACTTCTTTAAGACGCTCTAGGACGACAGGACAAGTGGAGAAGGACTTGCACTAAGCTCGGACATTGAGTCTGCGAGGCCAACGAGCATGTCCTTGGCCTTCTAACAGTCAGGGATGGTGTGAAGGACACCATTGACATCCCACCATGGATTAGCCCAATGACACAGTTCTGCTGCTTGGCTTGAGCATTACATACTGTAGCACTGCCATGTCTCAGTAGGGATAGATGACCTCCTTCTAAATCCTCATCGCAGACAAGCAATCATTACATCTGCAACAGTGGGGGACTCTTTTCCTTTCTATTGAAGGCCAGTGACAGTGGAGCGGCCATAATCCCCCCCCCATCCATAGAATCCTAACAGCAGTGAACGGCATCAAATACAGAACAAGAAATATTATTTTCAAACACCTAAAAAGGTAAGGCTCTTTATTGAAGCGGTTGCTCCATCTAGTGGCGAGCTTTTTATACTACGTGTCCTTTCACACATGTAGTTATAAAAAAAAAAAAAGGTAAAGTCATATCCACAGCAACACATTTTAAGAAGAGAGCGGTGTGGCACCATACAAAACACATAGCTGGGATATAAATATGTTTGTTTTTGTATGTTAAAACAGAGTACAGAATTTGTAGCCAGCTATATAAAACACACTGGGCAAGAAAAGCTAAGTTTATCATAGTGAAAACAACTACAGTCAGTCCAGACAGAGGAGTGACAGGAACAGAAGAAGGCTAAATTAAGTTGCTTGTTGACGCTAACTTCACTAGTCTGCATGGAATTAGCTTGTAAACCAATTTAACACACCAAGGCTTAACTCACCTGTCCATGTCTTCTGCTCTGGGATAATGTAATATTTATTCCCCATATGATCTGTACCGACGTGATTGCGTACTAATCCAAAAGTACGCCGCAGAACGCCAGCAATCCTGCTCATCTTTAGAAGATAACCCAAAGGTTTTGGGTTGTGTTTATGTGTCCCTTCTTAGCTGTCTGTCCTCTAACTGGGTTGTTTATGCAAGTGTTCATGGGTTGGGGAAGAGAATCAATAAACTGCGTTGTGATTGGACGGCTATACTTGACCAGCCAATCACCACCTTCGTCATAGAATGGACATTACGTTCCAACATGGCGGCTTTTTGTGTGGCTCTCCTGCGAAAGTAGTTGAAATGAATGTAAAATAAAGAAGAAATAATCAAAGCGAGAGTATCCCTGTGAGATTTAAAGGGCGCGTTAAGCTCCGGAGCTTTGGACGGCCATAATTTGTGGATTTAAAAACTCAAACTCGATGTAGCTAACATGCTAGCCTTTGAGCTAGGTTAGCTAACGACAGCAGAGAGTAAAAGCTAGCCCTGGTCTTAAATTAAGGCCGGTTTTTCTTTAAATTGAAGCAATGTTGGGGTTTCTGACAGCAAGACAGGCTGGTCTGGATGACCCTCTGCGACTGAGACGTGCAGAGTCAACGAGAAGGTGAGAGAATACAAGTATCTCAACTAGACAAGGAAAGGAAATAATTTAAATACACATATTCATATATCAATACTCAGCTCCCGGACCTAATGGCACCATGTATGGAGTCTCATCTTACGATATATCAAGTTGTTCCATTGACAGTCTCATGAAAGGATAAATAAATAACAGCTGGTACGTCTGAGGATTTGAGAAGCCTTTATTAGCTGATGTTTGTACATTTCGCTCAATAAATGACTTTGGCTGTGTTCCTTTCATTATTATCTCATTATCCAAATGTATGTGGGCTTTAAAGGTAAATGTGAGTTACAGTGATGCATAGCTCTTCCTCTTTCTGTTTCTCCAAAGGGTCCTCAGTCTGAAGTTGAATCCTGACAGAGACGTGGACAGGATCCATGGAAATGGCATCAACAGCCTTGACATTGAAGCAGTAGAGGGTAGATAGTAAGTCCACTTACTCCTAATTTCATTTAACTGATTTATAGATTACTATATTACAATCCCCCTGGACACTGTAGCTGTGAAATAGCAGCTGTAGGTCTATCCTTGACAAAGATTTGTGACAAGAGCCTAGTACAACAGAGGTGAATGGCATTTAGTCTTTGACTATACAAAGCATGGGGAAGTTAACATTGAAAAAGAGGAGAACTAAATTTCTTGAAACTATCTTCTGGTCACCTAACGTAATGCTGTGTAATGGCAGGAAAAGTAGTGCTATCTGTGAAGTCAACCCTCTCTGTTGTTTAGCATGTTGTCTGGTGGAGCAGATGGCGTGATCGTAATCTATGACCTGGAGAACTTCAGTGGGAAACCACAGTACACCTGCAAGACAGTTTGCACAGTAGGCAGGTGAGAATTACTCAATTTACTCACTGTCCACTAGAGGGAAGCACTGCATTACGTTCTCACAGCACCATGTCTTTCTTAGCTTGCTCACGCCATGGCCTTTACATACACTACCAGTCAAAAGTGTGGACACACTCATTTAATGGGTTTTCTTTATTTTCATGACTATTTACTTTGTAGACTCTCACTGAAGGCATCAAAACTATGAATGAACACATGGAATTATGTAGTAAACAAAAAGTGTGAAATAACTCAAAACATGTTTTATATTTTAGATTCTTCAAAATAGCCACCCTTTGCTTTGATTACTGCTTTGCACACTTTTGGCATTCTCTCGATGAGTTAATGAGGTAGTCACCTGAAATGGTTTTCTTCATGGTCTTGAAGGAGTTCCCAGAGATGCTGAGCACTTGTTGGCCTTTTTGCCTTCATGCCTTCATGGGTTTAGGTCAGGTGATTGTGGAGGTCAGATCATCTGGCGCAGCACTCCATCACTCTCCTTCTTGGACAAATAGCCCTTACACAGCCTGGACGTGTGTTTGGGGGTCATTGTCGTGTTGAAAAATAAATGATGGTCCAACTAAACGCAAACCGGATGGGATGGCATGATGCTGCAGGATGCTGTGGTAGCCATGCTGGTTCAGTGTGCCTTCAATTTTGAATAAATCCCCAACAGTGTCACCAGCAAAGCACCCCCACACCATCACACCAAAGAACCTTAGATTCAAAGATCTCAAATTTGGACTCATCAGACCAAAGCACATATTTCCACTGGTCTAATGTCCATTCCTTGTATTTCTTGGCCCAAACAAATCTCTTCTGCTTGTTGCTTTTCCTTAGTAGTGTTTTTTTAGCAGCTATTTGACCATAAAGGCCTGATTCGCGTAGTCTCCTCTGAACAGTTGATGTAGAGATGTGTCTGCTACTAGAACTCTGTGTGGCATTCATCTGGGCTCTAGTCTGAGGTGCTGTTAATTTGCGATTTCTGAGGCTGGTGACTCGGATGAACTTATCCTCAGCAGCAGAGGTGACTCTTGGTCTTCCTTTCCTGGGGCGGTCCTCATGTGAGCCAGTTTCATCGTAGCGCTTGATGGTTTTTGCGACTGCACTTGGGGACACATTCAAAGTTTTTGCAATTTTCCGGACTGACTGACTTTCAGTTCTTAAAGTAATGATGGACTGTCGTTTCTCTTTACTTAGCTGATTGGTTCTTGCCATAATATGAATTCTAACAGTTGTCAAATAGGGCTGTCAGCTGTGTACCAACCTAACTTCTGCACAACACGGCTGATGGTCCCAACCCCATTAAGAAGGCAAGAAATTCCACAAATGAACCCTGACAAGGCACACCTGTGAAGTGAAAACCATTTCAGGTGATTACATCATGAAGCTCATTGAGAGAAGGCCAAGGGTTTGCAGTTCTGTCGACAAAGCAAAGGGTGGCTACTTTGAGGAATCTAAAATATGAAACATATTAGAGAGTTATTTCACACTTTTTTGTTTACTACATAATTCCATATGTGTTCATTCATAGTTTTGATGCCTTCAGTGAGAATCTACAATGTAAATAGTCATGAAAATAAAGAAAAACCATTAAATGAGAAGGTGTGTCCAAACTTTTGACTAGTAGTGTACATGGAAGTGAAATGGCTTGAATCAAACTGTTTCTTCCCGCACGTTTTACTTGGATCTCCTTTTTGATGTGATGTGAGTAGTCCTACTATATATATTGTAGACTTTAATTAACACTGGGGGCTGATTCTGATGCTAATATCAGAATGCATTGACTGAATGATTTCCATAAAATCCTACACACTAGACCTTTTTAATGTACAACAACAATGAAAGCAATGCATGTCTGCACACTCATGGTGTCGGAATGTACATTGCAGTAATCCAAACCTGTTTCCGCCTTTGAGAAGGACAGAGATAGGGACCATCTTTCCTTGAAGACTGACATGTTATCATTACTGAAAGCAGTAAATATTTCCCATTTCCCATGGATATGTATTCTAAAAGGAGGTTCATATATATTTTTATTTTTTAGATTATTTTTGGCCTTTATATTGCCTTAAGTGTAGCTAAAGAGTGACAGGGAGAGTGACAGGGAGAGTGACAGGGAGAGTGACAGAGAGAGAGAGAGAGAGAGAGAGAGAGAGAGAACGTGCAGCAAAGGGCCTCAGATTGGAATTGAACCAAGGCCTCTGCAGTTACATGCACATTCTCAACCAGGTGAGCTCACAGTTGCCCCCAGTGATGAATATTTCTAGAGGTTTTTTTTTTCAGTAGCGGAAGCTTTTCTTGTACTTGTTGTTGTTAAGTTCATTTCTGAATGTCTCGTAGCAGAGCAGGGGCTGGAATTCTGCAGTCAAAGATGTGAAGAGAGTTTTTGTTTTTAAGAGTCCCAAAATGAGTGATCTGGTTGGCAAGCAGGCCCAGAGAACATGATAATAATTAACTGCAGTGCTCACTGCGCATCGTGATATGACTTTGTTTTTTTAATTTAGGTCGAGTCGGCACGTCCACAAATTCAGTGTGGAGACAGTGCAGTGGTATCCTTATGACACAGGCATGTTTGTCTCGAGTTCCTTTGACAAGACCATGAAAGTGTGGGACACTGAGACACTGAAGGTAAGAAATGTCACCCACAGACAAGGTTACTCCAATGTTAATATGATACACACTGAGTTATCAGTTTCTTAGATACACCTGTACCATTAGTTTCTCTGTGTGCGGTATGTTAATTGGGATAAACATAATTAGAAAGAAATTTCAAAATAATGCTGTCCAGTATAACTTTACAATAGAGCTGAATCATCATATAACCTTATAAAACTATAATTATAATAATAACTTGTGCATATTGCAGGTTGGCTTATTAAGTAACTAGATGACATTTGTTTTCTTATAGCTCCACCACCCTTTCTCTCTTTTTGCTCTTTTTGTTATCTCTTCCCATCTCTTTCTTATTTTCTGCTTCATGCTTTCTACCTTTCTATGCCACATAGTCCCATATGGCAGGCCCTGAGCTGTGCTAGAGTTACACTGGCACCACGGTTACCTCAAAAGGTCAGGGAAGGGACAGAAAAGAACCTACCGCCCCTTCATTTGTTTTACTCTGTGTCTCCATCTCTGTGTCTTGTACAAACACACACTCATAACTATTAAAATATTTATTGTGGTTGTGTAGTTCCACATTATTGTGTGCTTTGCATTCATGTGCACATAGTGTATTTGTATGTGTGGTATTTTTATGTAAACAGAGCCTCCTCTGTGTGTGTGTGTGCGCCCATTGGCTGAGTCCATGCCGGTGCTGGCACACACTGACAGATGGGGCACAGAGAGGCTTTTTATATTTGCTGAAGAATTTGCATTGTAACCGCCACTTCTGCTCGGGTGAGCTGCCTTCTGAGCTCTGAGCTGCTTCCCCCTTCCCTCTCTACTTGCGTTTATTTTTACCTAATTCGTTCTCTGAACCCCTTCCCTGCACTGTGGTCAGTTTATACTACAGTTAAACTTTAAGGCCATGCCTTTATTTAAGGACACAATGTTCATTCAGCATACATACACAAATATACACAGCACTTAACATACAGATAGCTGAATTTCTACTGTAGCTTACTGACCCTTTCTGTCTGTCTCTCACTTTTCAGCCTGCTGATGTCTTTGAGTTTGAGGGAAATGTCTACAGCCACCACCTGTCCCCCATTGCCAGGAAGCACAGTCTCATTGCAGGTGTGTGTGGATGCAGCTACAGTTTTTGCTGATCTCAGTGACACAGTACTACCCCCAGGAGTTGGCATTTGTAACACTGCGTACTAAAAAGCATTGAACTTCTTCTCCACAGACACCACCCCTACTTTGTACTCCAGTTTTTAACCCAGGTTATAATGTGACAGTTAGGAATGTAAAGATATATCAGAAGACAGTTAAGTCACAATACAAAAATGTGAATAAATCAGTGAGATGAACAATAAATCATGATGCTCTTTTTAAACCACACACTACGTCACTCGTGTCACTAGCTGTATGAAGATGCAAAGACATCAGTTTCACTTTTAGAAAGAAAAGGAAACCTGTATTGTTTTGCACAGTTTAAACCTCAGAAATGAAAAGGGATTCTATCATTTGATAAAGGAAATATAATAGAAAATATATTTTGTAGATTTTTGTCTGAAAAAAAATAAAGGAATTGATTTTAGTCATAATTTGAATTCAATCTCGTTTGGTTAAAAAAATCAAATCATGAACCCAGTATTTGTGAATTGTATCGATTTGTGAGTTGAGTGTATCATTATATCCCTACCTGGAGGGGACAGAAGTGAGCCTGCAGCTAGTTACACATGGATTCAGCTTCAGAGACAAACGTCTCTTTTTAAGAGGAAAAAAAAAACATAGGAATCTTCCTTACCACGTCACCGGGCAGGACCAACAGGTTTCTCGTGCCTGCTGAGTATGTGCTCATAATGCCCACATAAGTGCTTCCCGTCACATACACACACACAGTCTCTTTGACACACCTAAACCAGAGACACAGTGTTTGTTTTTGTGTTTTTTTTTCCTAACGTGTCCTTCCCTCTCAGTGGTGTTACAGATGTTTGACAGACAAGTTGGAAACCTCCCTGGAGTCTTCTATTTTCCCTAGGATTCTCTAGGATTCTCATTCATCATGCATAATTTGAGCTTTTTAGATGTTAATTATGTCCTGATCATTTTCTTTGTTCTGTTAAATTTCAACAGCTATGTTTTCCTCCTCCTGTGTATATAGCCTGGGTGTGTTAGCTCATGTTTATCAGAGGTTCGTATCAGTGAGTTTTTCATATTTACCACACCTTATCTGTGAGAACCTGGGACTCCAGTTTTTAACCTTGTGGAGTACCTCTCTCTTATACACCTGTTGAAGCTGATTATACTCACACATTTAGTAGTAAGAATGTGATATTGAAACTGAACCATTTAATGGAATTTTCAACTTTCAAGATATCCCTGTAAATTCCCCTTTTCCAGCCTTTAAAAACAAGACAACTTTTGAGTCTCCTCCCACAACTGTTTTTTTGTTTCGTTTTCAGTTGGCACCAAAAACCCTAAAATCCAACTGTGTGACCTGAAGTCTGGTTCACGGATTCATGTTCTTCAGGGTTAGTGGACAAGACCACAATTACACACGCTTACTTTTTCCTGCTGCTTTTCTGACACACATAAACAATAACTTTCCCCCTCTAGGTCACAGAGCAGAGGTCCTGTCTGTGCGGTGGTCACCCAGATACGAGCACATCTTAGCCACTGCCAGGTAGGCACTTTAAACTGCCAGTCTCAAACAGTTTGCCCTCAGAGCCACATCAAAGAATAATACCAGGTATGGGACAATCCCCACCATGTTGTGTCCCAGCAGTTCTTGTCATCTCAGTTCTGGCCCATCTGCCACATTGCAACCCTGAGTCAAGGATAATGACACCACATTGCTGGAAGATAGGCGCTGTGGCAGCCTGGTAGCCCTGTCAGTATAGCATATGGTAGATACAGTCCCCACCTGTTTTATGCTACATTAGACATGCTAATTAACCAATTGGGATCAGTGTGCTGTTTTCCCTGTGGACTATAAGTGATTTTGAAAACAACTGGCACAGAGAGACACTCGGAGAAGTGTATGATATTCTATTATGGACCAGCATGTTAATTCCCAACAGTAAACTGACCTTTAAAAACAAACACTGGCTTACACACACTGTTTTATATGACTTATCTGTTTGGGCATGTTTTGTACTTAAATTGTGGTATTGCACTTATTCTAATTTTTGAATAGTGCATAGTTCTGCATTTATTATTAATAAACCAGAAAAGTGTCAAATAAAATTAATTCCCTTATTTTCCTTCTAAGTGCAGACAGCAAAGTGAAAGTATGGGATGTGCGTCGGGCTTCTGGCAGTCTCTTAACTCTGGACCAGCACAATGGAGAAAAGTCAAAAGCTTCCTCTGAGGCAGGTACTGTTACCTCGCCCCCTTTTTTCTTCTGTTGCAATGTCTTTCTTCAAAGTGGGCAGGGCCTCTGGCAGATGTTTTAGACTTCATCTTGACAATAGAAAATACAGGCATTGAAATGCATCAGGACAGAAATTGTTGTCACATAACCCCCTGGGGTGTAATTGGCAGGGTAACACCTTTGCAGCTTTGCTTGTATGCTGTCATGTGTTTCCCCTTCCTTATCCATATCAATCTACCAGTCACTGTCCAAGATGACAATTTAGCACCATGATATGGCATAAGCTTAGAGTGGTGCTGCACAGACTACATACATACAATTTAAATAATGGTTATATCGTACATATTGTCTTTCTTTTTCTATTTGTATATACTGTCACTTCTATTTCTATTTTATCTTAATTTATATTCTCTATGTTTACTGTAATGTACCAATTTACCAAGGCAAATTCCTTGTATGTGAAAACCTACTTGACTAAAAATCCGATTCTGACGAACGCTCGGGTTCACATAACCCCAAAAAACCTTCCTGGTATCTGATCTTCTTAGGAACAGAAAATTATGTAGTTTACAGCAACACTTCCTTCCTCAGCTCTGATGTCTAATACCTTTCAGGTTTTTCTGGTTAACATAACTGAGAATGTCTCTGGAGGAGAGGTCAACATTCTGCACATACAGTATCTGTTTTTCTTGCCAGGGGTTTTGTTTAAGTTCGAGCTAAGAGGGGCAATGTTTAGAGGAAACCAGTTTGTAATTAAACTAGTTTGTCTTTATTCTATTGTAACTATTATGTGAGAATGTGTTTTACAGCAACTGCACTAAAAGCATATTACTGATTGAAGTATGAGAAGTTGACAAAGATGCAGGTGGGATTACAAATGCATGTTATTGTGTTCTTATCTTTGTTTAACCAGTGAACACAGCTCATAATGGCAGAGTGAATGGCCTGTGCTTTACTGGAGATGGCCTCTACCTCCTCACTACTGGAACTGATGACCGTATGCGACTATGGAATAGTGCCACTGGAGAAAACACACTGGTAAGGTGTGTGTGAGAGTAAATGCTTTGTCCTTGTAACCTACCTGGACTAGCATTTTGGATTATGCAAATGCAGCAGTTGCAGACCCATTACATTTGCCTTTACATTGCCAAATCCTTAAAAGAAGTCTGAAGAACAAGTTAAATAGATACCCATAATGGCCTGCTTGATACCTTCCAGTCTGGTTTTGGAAACTGCAGAAACTGTTCTTGGTGTGGTCATCGGTAATCTCTGAAATACAGGTTCAACCCAGCTGTCTAACCTCGATCCCAGTGCTCTTTTTGACTTTTTAATTTGATAGTACCACTTATCAGTGGTTCAGGATGTACTTGCATATAAGTAATCTCTTGTCTCAGTTAAAAACTTGGTTTCTACATTACATGTGTAGTTCTACAAGGGGCAATCTTTGGTCATGTTTTAGTGCAATTTATATATACATGTACACACTTGGAGGATCTTCTGTAGAAACCGCGAGATAAAAGCAGCCTTGATCAGGTCCCCCGCAAATGCAAATCGCCCGATAAAGACCACTAAATTCAAAATGGCAGACTTGCTGTTGGGTTTTGGGTTTGGGTCCAAGAGGCTTTTTTTGTCTGGTCATGATGGTCATTTTGCCCCGCCCATATGCAAGACCTGTAGAATACCTGCATTTTCACCACCACCAAATTAGCATGTTGTGGCCTCCAAAAATGCGATTCAGTAGGGAATACAATGTAATAGGGTCCTTGCAGCGCTTTGCTGCTCTAGCCCTAATTAACATAATTATGTAGAGGATCCCCAAATTGCTTGATATGGGTAATGTAATGTAATGAATAGGTAGTCAGGTTGTTTGAGATTTTTGAGCTCTTACAACCTGTAAGAGGAAACGAGCTTATTCTTGGCAGCTGTGGCCAGTCTCTGTTGTGTCTCTCCAAAAAGCCAGAAACAAACAGAGTATCTGTGTAAACATATATTATATACTGCATATGACTATACACCGATCAACCATAACATTATGCCCACCTGGGTACCCTGGTGTTCATAATGTTATGCAGCTCCATACGCAACAAACCGATGGTAAATGGTAAATGGACCTGTACTTGTATAGCGCCTTTCTTGTCTTCTGACCACTCAAAGCGCTTTTACACTACATGGCACATTCGCCCTTTCACACATGTTCACTCAGTGATGGTAAAGCCCATCGAACAGAAACTAATGCATTCATACACATTCACACACCAATGCACGGCATCGGGAGCAATTCGGGGTTAAGTATCTTGCTCAAGAATACTTCGACATGTGGCACCAGGGGGTCGAACCAGCAACCTTCCGATAAGGGGACGACCCGCTCTGCCTCTGCACCACAGCCGCCCTGATGCACTGTGTTCTGACATCTTTCTATCAGAGCCAGCATTAACTTTTTCAGCAAAGTCCCAGTTGTCTAGCCATCACAATTTGGCCCTTGTTAAAGTCGCTCAAATCCTCATGCTTGCCCATTTGTCCTGCTTCTAACACATCAACTTTAAGGACAAAAAGTTCACCTGCTGCCTAATATATCCCACCCACTGACAGGTGCCATGATAACCAGATAATAAGTGTTATTAATTTTACCTGTCAGTGCTCATAATGTTATGGCTGATTGGCGTGTATGGCTTCTAGGAATCCGAGAAGCTACACGTTCATTACTGGCAGATTAGGTCACTCTAGCTTCCGGGCTACCTGAAGACTGTAAAGTGTCTGCAGCTAATACAGAAGGGTGCTGTACAAACTCTTACTGTGACAGGAAATAAACACATCTTTACACAGCTGTTTTTACTTTTTAGCATTTATTTTTAACATTTAGGAGTTTAACTGGGTCTGTCTTGGTGCTATGGTGAACATTTTGTAAAATACTGTCAAAATTATCTACAAATAATAATGTTTCAATTATTTTACAAAAAAGGACACGGGAGCATTGTTACTTTTCTTCAGTTTTCTATACTTTTCAAGAGCACAGGAATTTTTTATTAGAGTACTTTCTTTCCTCACTGTTGATTATTCTCCAAAAACCTTCACAAGTGAAACAAGAATTAATGTTTGATTAACAATCACCCAGTGCTAACCAACAATCTGTCACTGTTAACCAAATTGGACAACCTAGTTTACATCACTGCTCTTACAGGCTTACAGACTATTTTAGTTTTGGCATTGGTCTATTTAAAATAGTGTACAATTTGTATATCCACGCCCATACACAGCCCCACACCACAGAATCATAAGCTTAAAGCCAAGGGAAGCTTTGCTATTTGCCATGAGCTCTCACACAGTCACATGTTCTAATTTCCTGCTCTGCTGCCTCATGCTGCCGTTGCCATGGTGGGCATTTTTCCATCTTCAGGCAAATGTTTTATGAGGAAGGAAATGCACTTAACACACTTATTAGAGCTCAAGGATACACACAATGTTTTGGTGGGTAAAACAAAATGTAAGCACAACTTTTGTTTGTTTACAAGAAAAGCCCACAGGGCCCCATTCAACCTTAAAACTTAAAATATTCTAGTAGTGGTTCTACAGCTTTATTGTGAATTATTACTGGTTATTATTTTCAGGTGTAAGAAGCATTAAAAACCTATGACACCTATGGGGATAAACGGTTGTTATTTTTGGTGGTGCTGCACAAAATGGTTCAACATGTAACAAACAAAAAAAAAGGAAGGCATCATATTTTTCTTGGAAACCATCTCACATTCTTTAGTGTCATAAGTAACTTATATTTAGAAATATACACACATTATCTGAACCGTGTGTGCCTTTACTGTTTGTCCCTTAGGTAAATTACGGGAAGGTCTGCAACGAAAGTCGTAAAAGGCTACAGTTCACGGTGTCGCATGGCTGCAGCCCAGAGTTTGTGTTTGTGCCGTGTGGCAGCTCAGTGGCGGTGTATGCCCTCCACACAGGAGAGCTTGTCACTATGCTGAGGGGTCACTACAACAACGTCGACTGCTGTGAGTTCCACCCGGACTACCAGGTGAGTCACACCGAAGTCCCAGGTAGTGACTATTCCCTGCATCTCGCCGATATACCAGTCTATCTGTAGTGCTGCCTTTGTTTTTACTTCCATCCATATATTTGTCTCTTCTGCAAGTCAAGTCTAGTTAGTCTCTTGAACGCTTAAAGAACTGTGAACCCTCTTGTTACATTATCTCTCCAGCCGTTGTGGTGTTGTCACTGCTGCAACTGCTATTAGAAATTTGCAATCACCATGGCAGTCTCAAATGAGCCGCTTCCCTCTGACAGATAACATGGTTAAAGTCAACATTTCCAGAGCTATATTGAGCCACTATAAATGCAAATACAGACATACTCAAGTTAGTCTTCTTAACCTAAGTGTCGACTGTGACTCTGCCACATGATGAAGGTTTAACTGCACCGAAGCATACAGATGAAATGTACAGTAATTGTGTTTTCCTTACTACAGAACAAACGACCTGATAGAGGCTATTATTAAGGTTTTTGTAGATTGTCTACAAACATGTAACAAGAGATTCAACTATCGCAGGTTAAAATTGTGATCACATAAATTAAACATATATATTATAAGATAACATAACATACAAACATATAAAAAAAACGTATAGACAAAAAACAGAACACACAATAGCAGTACTGTGTATCCGAATGTGATGGTGCTGTGTGTCAAAATAACAGAGAATGTCTTTGAAGCTAAATAAGTATGTTGAGTTTAGCCCATCAGTTGAGATTGGCTTAAAATGTCAAAGGTTCCTCACAGGTAAAGAACACAAGAATATGTTTGGTGTCCTTATACTTTCCACAAAAACTGTTAAAATGAACTATTTTCCTGCTCATATACTGATTTTTATATGGTATGTCTCTGTAAAACAAGCTTAAGATTCTTTTTAAAAAGAACAGATTTGTTTTGATTTTAGAGTGGACACAGAAAAATGCCAGTTCCACAATCGGCCAAATATTGACATAACAAATGTGACCAAAACCAATGTTTGTTTTCACATAGGTTTGGCAGCTTATTTGGAGAGTTCCGGAAAATGAGATTTGCTAGTTCATCTTCTCATCAGATCAGTCCCATGCCACTGACAATGTGTCCCCTGAGTTCACTTACGCTATTGAGCTTATTAAATATTTTACTCTTGATCCCAATCATGCTAGTTAACGCTGGTTTCCACAAGGTGCTGACATCACTGTCTGGAAGTGCTAAGATGAAGGTTATGCTGCAACAGCAGTTCCTTTAATTTCCCTAGCAGTGTGAACAAATGTGAAACAATGGAAGTGTCCTTGTTTTTTGTATGTAGGAGCTGTATAGTGGAGGTAAAGACTGTAACATCCTGGCGTGGGTTCCTGTCCTTCGTGCCTCAGATGTGGAAGAAGAATCAAACAATGCAATTAAGGTAGGAAAGAAGGTATGGAAAAGACATAAGGAACAGTTATGTAATCAAATAACACTAAACAACCGATTAATAGACAGATAGTGACAATCTCAGTGTGAACACGATGATTAAAATTGGTATCCTCTAAACTTACATTTTGGTATTTCTGTCTTCATGTCAGACATGAGATCATGGATAAGTGTCATCTCAGGAATTTAAATTGTGAAACCTCGCCTCTTCATACGGCAACACGACTACTCAGCCTTGTCTGCATTCTAGTAGTGCTTATCGAATTACAAATGGCTGTGCTTTACTGTCTTTTTCCAGTCTAACTAGTTGGTACATTTATCAGATTAACTTAGCAATTGTTCTCATCAGTCATACAAAAATTGTTCAGGCAAATTTGACAGGGATGTGTGGTTACCCGCTTGAGTTTCTTTTCCCCCACAGCGTATACCCGTATATGGTTGTGACAGGTATTATGCATTATGTTTTTTGTAATAGATCTATTAAAAGAAGAATATCTTAAACCTACTACAAATAGTTTTTAACTGGTTATGAAACAATTATCAATCTCAATTTAATACTGACACCTCTATATGACCTAAATAAACAAGAAAAACCATCAGTGAGAAGATTGGCTATTTCTATATAGTTATTGTTAATGAGGGTCAGATTCCCCTTACATTAACTGAACCACAGTTCCTCGTTGCTGCTTAAATTCAGACTTTATTTTGACCTGAATGTCTCGATTCTTTACAGGGAGCTGTTGGCCAGACTTCAGTTAACCCTGCCTTTCAGGATGCATGGAGCAGTGAGGAAGATTAATGCTGCTGTTTTGAATGTTTGGCCAAAGTGGACGTACAGGTGTCTGACCATGCAAATGACAACGCATCCTATGCAATAAACTTGTCAAAACATTACAGGTCCATGGACACCTGTAAAAGTCATTGTGGGTTTAGGTTCTCCAGTTTTATTATTGCACACAAAGACTAGGGCCTTAAAATGAATATGAAATGTGTAAATAATTGTACGGCTTTATAAATATGTGTTATGAATAATGTTTGCTTTTGTACATTTGATACAGCATTGTTATTGTTGATTTGCTGTTTTTTATTGGTCCTTGGTATTCTTAACAAGTTTCATGTTGCTAAAGTCTTCTTAACATGATTTTGTATTTTCAATAATTAATTGTAGCCACGGGGGATATCTGCCACTGTTGACTGCTGACTGTTAAAAAATGTGGAGATTTTGCAAAAAGCAGAGTTAACCCTTACTGTTTGCTCAGAGAGAGAGATTTGTTTGTTTTTAAACAGGTTTCAGTTTTTGTGTTTTTGCCACTGGATTGGGAAGAGAGTGTAAGACGAGTGGGCAATCAGAAACACGGCCTTGTTGTCATTCCTGCAATACTTTGCATTTGTGAGGAGCGATACTGAAACCTTTCCCTCCGTCCCACTCCCCTCACAGTTATACATATTGGCTTATTTACCATGTGAACACCTTGAACCCAAATGAGGCCCTTCCCATAAAAATCTACAAATAACAAAAACACAATACAGTGATGAACATTGTTATCCTTTAAGAAATATATACACTTATTTCTTGCATATCAACACTATTCATATCCAGGGTACTGTTTCTGTCATTTAATGTAACAGTCAGTTCTCTTTATCCAAAATTACCGGAAGTGTCTTGAATTGTACATTTTTTAATTATGTCTGTTTCTTTATAATAAAAGCACTGGGGGCATGCTACCTTATTTATTTCACCTCTCTGTAATCGTGCTGTGTTTTTTTTTTTTTTTGGCAGGTTATGGAAAAAAACAGCATTAGCTGTAAAGCTGCCACTCTCCTTTTTTTTTTGATTAAAACTAATGATTGATTACGTCGGAAGAGGATATTATTGTATTGTTGCAAAATCTTTTCGATGAGGCATCACTCAAGAATGAACTTCAGCGTTAGCCAACCACCGAGCAAGGGGCGTGGCTGGATTCCAGACCCCGCCCTCAGATGCCTATCATAAGCGGGGAGTACGGCGCGTAGAGAGCAGAGGAGGCGCACCTGTTGGGAAGCTGCAGGTGAGCCGGGAGTTTGGATACAGACAATTTGACCCAGCAAAAAGGACTTTCACCGAGTAACAGCGGTACCAGCACAAAAAGGTTAGTAATTATTGTTTTCTTCGAGTTGAATTTGAGTTAAGTGATACAACAAAAAGTTTTTATAGAGAGAAAAATGTAGGAAAGCCGGTGTATCGACGCAAAAGCGTGCCCGTGATTACTGAAACATTTCCTGCCATTGTGTGGCGGATAGGAGCTGTTGGACTTGTTTTTCATCAATGGCGTCACCTGGTCCTCATCAGCTCAGCCTCTTATTGAGGCTTACAGCGATACTGGTGTGGGCAAATAAAAGTAAGCTAAAATAACTTAATTAGCCAATTCGATGCCAACTAGCTCAATATTATACAAGGTGCACTTTCCAAAGTGGCCCAGTTAAGAAAGAAGTAAATTATTGAGTAAATTATGATAATGGACACATTTGTAAGATTATTTATTTGACCAGGTAAAATTGACATGAAACGACTATTATTGGTGTGTTTAATGTTTTTCTATGCAACACATCAACCAGTCTGCCTCAGTTATTGAATAATGTTGGACCACCTTAACTCAATTATCTTTTGGGAAGCCGTGGGGAGTTGACATAGCAGACATAAAATAAGGAGGTGTGCCATGGGAGTAGCAGCCTTTACATCACAGTCCCTGACTATAACGTTAATTGGCATGTCAAGGCTTGCCAGTCGTCATTGGTGTAGAAACTCCAGACAGCCATGCCTCTTTTCACAGTTCACCTAATGACTTACCCATGCCCTGTTCAAATTCTTGTCACAATCAGGTTGACACACCTTGAAAACCTGTCATGTAGGGCTGTGTCTTATGTATCCTTAGCACATATAGGGTGGATATGTTTTTCTTATTTTATTTATTTTTTATTCCTTTTACATTTGCTCAAAGCTCCCACACAAATGGCACAACGGTTTTCTAGAAATAAAAACAATCTAACAGGTATATTGAGATTTTGTTTGACTTCTGGTGTGTTTAAAGAGTTCTCCCTTGGCATTTTTCCCATACAACAGGCCTGTTTCATAAACCAGTCAAGCCAGTCATTGTGAACCTTACCACACTGGAGCCAGTATGAACCGTGTAACCTAATGCAAGGCATCAACTCCATGCCCAGAAACCCTTAACTGATGTGTTGCATTTTATAAAACTGCTTGCTTTGATTCCTGAACCATTAGACTGATTCATAATTAATGGCAGCAGCACAGATGCTGGGATAACTGGGAAAAGTTTGTCCCATTACCCTTCACTAAAAAATTAACCAGTTTAAGCTTAATGTCATTCTGACATTACATAGTGTCTTTTTACACTACACATCATCATTTCCAAAGTGTTTCCTGCTAACTCTTTTCCCATTGAGAAAAGTTCCAAGTTTCACACGTTTACGTTTGTATCACATACCAAAGATTTCCAGCATGAGTCAAAGTGGCATGATTTTGGTATTAAGTCATGGACTATATTGTAACAGATTTTTACACTAGCCATGTGTACATGTTTCTTGAATCAATTCTAGTCACAGTGTTTGTTCTCTGCAAACGGAGACACTGACTGCTACTCATTGTACTCCCCGTACACTCTTGGCTTTGTCCGTCTCAGATTGTCAGAGGGGCAGCAAAGAATGGCTGAGTGCCCTATACAGTCCAGCCTTTCAGTCATGGCAGTACAACTACAAATAACAATACTGAGTTAAGCACTGTTCAGATCTTATCACATACCAGTTGCATGGTGATGAAACGATGCTGTGTGCTGTCAGTTTCAGTGAGTAGCTCAGGTCAAACTAGTTTGTTTTTTAACTTGCAATAGTTGTTTGAGAGTGACTTACTTCCTGTTGAGAGTTCATTGCCAAAGTGGAGGCACTAGTAACCCTTAATAACCTTGATAGTTCCTCAACTTTAAACTTCCTCAACCTGCTGTGGTGTATTTTTTTTATTTTATTTTCTAATCCACATCACTTGAATACAGCGTTAATTAGTGTATTTGGCAGCTTTTAAAAGTAAACAAATATTTCAGTGAAATGAACTTTTTGCTGTTCTGGGACACAAGTATCGCGGACTGATTCTGTGCCGAGGCTTCTTGAACAAATTCCAGTGAACCTAACCTTTGCCTTTCCTCTTCTAGGTGAATTGCAGGGATCTGAAAATGGAATTTGATAATATAAAGTCCTCGGCCGCACTTGTTTATGACGAGTTCATCCAAAATGCAGGTGAGTCTATGAACATTCAAACACATCAAGCTTTCAAAAAGACTGGGCATGTTTTGTATTTTTAAAACCCTACACTCTTGGGTTTGTTTCTGTACATGAATCGACTTTTAACATGGTACACTCCCCTCCCTTTTCTTTGTATCTGAACCTTTTTTGATCTCACGAACAAATACTTCTGTTACAGACTCACGGACAGAGAACTGGTTGCTTATGTCATCTCCTCTCCCCCAAACGGTCATCATCGCAGCGTACATTTACTTTGTCACGTCGCTGGGGCCTCGGCTAATGGAGAACCGTAAAGCCTTTGACCTCAAAGGAGTCCTCATAGTCTACAACTTCAGCGTGGTGGCTCTCTCACTCTACATGTGCTACGAAGTGAGTCATCAGGTTCTCCTTTTGTTTAATTAGAGCACAGTGGCATGAAATGTGTGCTGTTAAAATAATTTAATGTAAGATAGCACGCTGCATGCATACCACTAGCTCATAGGGGAGCAAACATCAGTATTGTTTTGTTGAGCTCTTTGTGAAGAACAGAGCTGTGGCACATGCCATTGGCAGTCTTGTGAAATACTCTTGCTCATGGATTATGGGTTTTTTGTTTTTTAACTTGACTGTTTGATCTGAGGTTAAACCAGATTGGCGGGTATAGTCTTCCAGTTTAATCATTTGGAGAGAATGGATTTTTACATCCCAACCTTACCCAAACACAGGGTGTAGCTTTACTGTGTATGGTCAATAAATAAGTCAACAGCATCTGTCCCCTTAGATGGAAAAAATATCCAAGTAAAACTGAAGACGGAGTCAAATTTAACATCTGAAAAAAGATTTTTTTTCTTTTGAAGGTACACTTGTTAACACTTTGCCCTGTTCTCTTCAGTTTGTGATGTCAGGATGGGGAACGGGATACTCTTTTAACTGTGACCTGGTCAACTACTCTGATTCACCACAGGCTATAAGGGTAAGCCACTTATTTAAAGATTGGCATATACTGCATCATCTGATTGAATTCTTTTTTATTTTTTTTTATTTTAAGAACCAGTACTGAAATATTTTACTATGCTCTCTCCTCTAGATGGCAGCAACATGCTGGCTTTACTACTTCTCAAAGTTCATTGAGATGTTGGACACGGTAAGTCACAATCAGTCAGACATTCGAGTTGAATACACGTCCTCTTTATTGTGTTGCAGTGAATCTATATTACATTTTAGGGCCCAGCAATGTCCCCCACCTGCCATTTATTTTAACAAACTATACTTGTGTCCCTTTCCAGGTCTTCTTTGTGCTGAGAAAGAAGAATAGCCAGGTGACATTTCTTCATGTCTACCATCACTCAATCATGCCATTCACCTGGTGGTTTGGAGTTCGTTTTGCAGCAGGTAGGCTGTCTTTCATGTACAACCAATATTTTACACATTACATGTCATTATTTTTTCCCATTGTGACTATTAATCCTAAAACGCTCCCTATTTTCAGGTGGTATGGGGACATTCCACGCCCTGCTCAACTGTGTTGTCCATGTTATCATGTACACCTACTATGGCCTGACTGCCCTGGGCCCCAACTACCAAAAGTACCTGTGGTGGAAGAAATACCTCACTACCATTCAGCTGGTATGCTAAATTGTGTTCTCTTTTTTTTGGGGGGGGGGTTTATCTTATGTTCTCAAAATGTACTCCTTATAAAGACCTGTGATGAATCTTGGCAATAGACTTGACCCTTCCTTTCCTTTGTCGCTCCCCAGATCCAGTTTGTTATGGTGACCAGCCACATCTCCCAGTATTTCTTCATGAAAGACTGCCCCTACCAGTTCCCTATCTTCATCTACATCATCGGCCTGTACGGCCTGATTTTCCTGTTCCTCTTCCTCAACTTCTGGTACCACGCCTACACCAAGGGCAAGAGGCTGCCGAAAGTGCTGCAGGCTCAGACATGGTCACACCACACCAATGGAGTTATGAATGGAAACGCCAGTCATGAAAAAGATGAGTGATGCAAGACTTGGCTCATCTGGGGGGTTTCGGGGTTGACCTCATTTACATAAGCAAACCACTGCAGTCTGACATTCAACCCCAATTATTTTGGACTGTATTTTTTTTGATTGCTTTTCTACTTGCAACTGCAACAGACAATCTTTAAATTATGACCAACGCTATATTTAAGGGGTTTATTGACCCAAGCTGAAGGGTTTCATTTTGTTTTGTTTACATTGAAGGTAAAGCCCAAGTTCTGCTATGGAAGTTTCCAAAGAGCCCTCCTTTGTCTGCTACAGTATGGTTAGAAAAAATTTCACTTGTCAGAAATTGACTCCACAATTCACACCAACTATAGGGCTTCACCTATGATAAGACTGTAGGCCCTCATACTGGGCCTCCTCAAAGCTTCTAATGCCGAGATCACTTTTTTTTTTTTTTACTTTTGTGACTTGATCTTTCGTCTGAGAAGACTTTTAGGAAATCCAATTTTTTTTGTTTGTTTTAAGTTGCGCACTGAAAAGTTAAGGGTTGTTTATTTCATTTAACCTAATATGACGTTGACTGTTCTGAGTCGATGGGTGTTTAGGCTACACACGTTAAGAGGTTACATGCATGCAGAACGGGGTGTTTTGTTTTAAAAGAGAAGGTTTTGATCACATATGCCCACTTCTCTATGGCTTGAGTCACAACCAATGCTGACGGTACAGACATCCAGTGAAAAGGGCTATCTTCATACAGTGGAGTTAATTTATTCTCCTGATTTAATGATTGTCCTATGAAGCGTTGGTGTGACAAAGATGCCAGAGATGAAGGCTGATGGACCACTGTAGTCCTTGTAGGATCCAGAACAGAGCTAGAGTTTTACTACTTCCTTACTGAGGCATATTGCAAAAATAACACTGTTTTACAGGACCGCAGTACGCACAATTGCATGGATTCACTATTTAGCCAGTCAAAAGACATGAGCAGCCTCGCTTGCCTGCTTTTTAGTATTTTGCTTCATGTGTTGAAGCTCTGTGGCTAACAGTGTCTTCAGACGGCTGGAGTCAGGCAGTGCCTTTGGACTGAGGTCTGTGGAGTAGTTTTATATATTGTTATAATGATCTTAAACTGAAAAGTGAATGTAACACTCTGCTCATTTTGGTGACGGAGGACACAGGATCGAGCTAGGCATGGGGGTGGAAAGAGTTCCACTTTTAATCCAGTTGTGAGCCCATGTTAACAGATACAGTGCATACAAATGAGGTTTTTCTTTCAGTTCCTCGTCCGATCCAATAGTTAATACTGTAAGAAATGTTGCATAAAATGTTGTTTATATTGTCTTTTATATGTATTTATAAAAAATAAATGATCATGTACTTAGTTTCATTTTGCCTGTTTCTGTTCATTTTGAATTGTTAAAATTAAAAAAAATAAATAAATTATTCCTCAGATGTAATAAAGGTAACAATTGCAACAGTAGATAGTGAAATATTGACAGACTTAATTTAAAATGCAGTTTAATAGCAGAGCTTCTGAAATTACCAGATTGAAACTTCAGTATAAAATAAACTCATTGTACAGTTTCAGCTGAGCGCTGCTTAGACTTGATAAGTGATAATCAACTTGTTTAAGCTACCCTTGATTTAGTTTTTATTCTTGCAGAGTACAGCAGCTTCACTTGGGCTGCATGCTAAATAGGAAGACAAGACTACTACACTATAATGACATGCACTCTGGTAAGTTGAAAATCTACTAAAATATAACTAACTAAAAGGACTCTTTGCAAGCATCTTTGAAAAAGTTATGTAATTAAAGGAAACTCAACAGGGAAGCAAAAACATGGTTGAAATTCTAATCTGGGCATAGCCTTGTGACTGACAAAAAATACATCTCATGATACATTTTCTTCATGGTAACATTTCATAAGAACCTATAGTTGTAGGGAACTGTTTAAAAACCAATTCTTAGACCAGACTATAATGAGCTATTTTTACCAGTAGGATGTGCTGTTAAACTAGAAAAGTGTTGCTGTGTTCAGTTTTCAGTGCAATATCGTAAGATGGATCACCACACAATAGATGCAATTAATTTCACATTCATGAAAAAGAATGGCGCGCACCCCCGCCCCCATAAGTCATCTGCTTGAATGTATTATTGAGCAATACTCAATTTGAATCTTTGTTTCTGTGTATCTGCAGGATAATGAACTGTGAATTGCATTTTGTTGTTGGGTGAAAAGCTTCTTTCTCTAAAACATTTTTTGGGGATTTTTTTTTTGGCCTTTTATGCCTTTATTTGACAGAGAGACAGGAAAGGGGGCAGAGAGAGAGAGAGGGGATGACATGCAGCAAAGGGCCGCAGGTCAGATTTGAACCTGGGCCACTGCGTGTGTGGGTTGCCAGTTCTATGGACTGAGCTAACCAGGCACCCAGAGGAATTGATTTTTATCCTACCAACCATACGTTGTTCAATTTTCATGTTAAGGTATTTTAAGATTATTTTATTCCCATGTACTTTATTTACCAGTAGAGGAGCATATTTTTATCTCATGAAATTATGGCAACAAAGCTACACAGGAATAACCTAAGAACAACATCTTATTGTCCCAGAGAGGCCAGATCTCAATCAAAGGCAACAGCTTTTCATTCATTATGTCCATGCAACTTGACAAAGCTTTTTCATAGAATGGAGAAAGTTGCAGTGTCCAGATGTGCAAACCTGATGGAGAGACCTATCCAGACTGACTCAAGGATGTAAAAGGTGCATCCACAAAATACTGACATGAAGGGGGTGAAATTTGTAATGAATTTACATCATTATGCATCTGTTTCCACTTTGACATTGAAGGATAGTTTTTCTGTTGATGGGTGTCAATAAAGCCACAATAAATCTACTTTGATTCAATGTTGTAAGACGATTAAACACCAAGACTTCCAAGCGTGATGGAGGTTTCTTTATAGACATTTTATATCCAATATATTTAGATATCAGAAATAGAACAATTTAAATTTTATTTATATGAAAACATGCTGCTCTTTCTGTCTAACACTTGAAAAACTGACAACCCACACTTCCCCCTCTCCATTACACAAACACACCCAGGAAACAGGAGAGCACGCTGACCTGTCTGTTAGATATCAGAACGTCCTTCTGCACTTAAGTGGCACATAATCATATGTCCACCAAGCAGCAGTCCCTGAGCTTTTTATTGGATGACACTCAGCTGTGTGATGGCAAATACAAAAGCTTTTCATACATAAAAGGAAGCTGACGGTGCAAGATACAAATACAAATGACGGAAATCATTTAAAGCCTGTATTGCTACCCATATAAATGTACTGTGGTAAATGAGTGCTGAAACTAACAGACTGAATGGAGAGACGAGATCAGGCAGCAGGGCAGCCTAACCCTCGAAGGGCATGGATGATCGCTCTCCACCATGATGAGTTTCAACAACCCCTGTCTGTCTCCAAGCCACCCTCGCAGGCCCATCCCAGGTTTTACTATGGGAGAGGCTGTGATAAGTAGGTCATTATCGGGTTGAATGTGTGAGACGGCTCATCGCTGCAAATATGTGTAACACAAATGAGGTGAGTTTGTTCCTGCCTTTCATCACATGATTTTGAAAATGAATGTTTTAATGTTAGAAACATTTAAGTTCTATTTGATTGTTTCAGTGTTCATATTTGCCATTGCACACAACATTTTACTGGAATTTGCTTAATGAAGAACAGCAAAAGTGGCAAAATGATAATCAGACTAATTAACATCTGCCATCTCCCATATTTTAGAGACTTGTGTTTGTAAGAAAGATTACCTCTGATATGTCCAATAACATCCGGATCATTAACTATGCGCAAACCTCAAATTGTAATTCATTATATAGATATGTTGCAACGTCAGTCTCAATTAGGTCTGATAGTGGAAATAAACACTTTATCCTAACATTATGTGCTCTGTCTGTCATGTGCTCTGTCCATAAATAAGTTCAACAGGCTCTAATTGCATTTGTGCAGTGACATTTTTTCTGCATTTTAATCTATTTAAATTTGAAATGGGCCATTGACAGTGGTGTTAAAGTGCAGTTTAATTTGATTTACAGCATTTCATCCATATGAGTCACCCAGAAACCATCTGTAAAAGTGTCCTGACTGGAAAAAAGATTAAATGAAATTTTTTTTATGTTATCAAAGTCTCTGTTTCTTACTATGAACAAATGAAATTTTCTGTCAAAGTTTTCAGAGTTGTAAATAATAAATGTATGTCACATCTGAGCACCAATCAGGGTTTAGCAACATTTGAATCAAAATGCGATGACGGTTCCTGTGCTATTTGCTTAGCTTGGCAGGCAACCACATCCACACAGTCCTCATGAAAAAGATTAGCTGTATGTTGAGTTCAACTCTTAATAATAAAAATTAAAAATGTATTTTGTCCAACTTTAATGTTAATTGTTGCTTATTGAGTTATTCACATTTAAACATGCAATAACTGATTTGTTTGGCCACCTGGGGGCAGCAGAAACCAGCTGTAAACATAACCAATAATCTTATGACTTTTTTTAAGTTGATATGGAGAACTTGTTGGCAAACTGTTATCTTTTTACCCTTTCAACACATATGGAGCACATTATTGTTCATTTGGAGTTGTTGCTAGAACAACCTGGTGAATGCAAGTCTAATTTTCAAACTCCTTTTAGCTCTGTGTTTGGTCTCCACTAACTCATAGGAGAAATATCTTGCTCTTTAGCTGCTAAGAGCTCAATAAATTGTGGGTTGCTCATTTGGTTGGTCTGCCGGTGCTGGTTAGGCAGTGTACAGTAGGTTTTTTGCTGAAAACAGCTCCCTGCTGCAGTTATAAAGGATGCTATGCAGTGAAATTGAATCAAAGCAATTAACTGAAAAATGATTAAAACCCACAGAACTGATCCCAGTGATAATTATCTGTTCATAACTTTGGACCTTTCATATAAAAGTAGTGATTTGATCCATCCATTATTAAAAGAAAAACAATATCGATTAATACTTATGTTTTGAAACCAGGTTTTCAGGGGCTTAATGGTGACTCTTGAAACAGGAATGCAACAGTTGTCACACTATGCCACGATCAACAGTATCAAAGATGAAACAACATCACAAACTGTGATTCTGACTACCTCTGAGGTGACTGTCTGTCTGAGGACTTGTGAGGCTTTTAAAATGACGCTGAGTCATGGTACACAGGATGAGCTGATTGTAGATAAGAGAAAGAAAAAAATCTAGATTGCTTTTCTTTGTGGACCAGATCACACAGCTTCCAGACAGCGGCACCATCGTGTGCAACAATAGTTTGAGAATGTCTGTTTTCTTAACAATGCTAGTCGTGACAGTTTCGGACAAAGTACAACCATGTGTCTTGATTTTCTATCTCTTCGAGGGGTGATAGCATGTTGGAAACTTTCCGGTGAAGGACAACAAAAAACAAAGAAAAGTACTGACTGGAAGAGAACAGAGGGTGCTGGAGGGGAAAAGACACCACAAAAAGCACAACAGGATAAACAAAAGAGAGGAGGCAAAACTTCAGTCTTAACAGCTTGTTACGCTCTGAAGATTTTACTGTTTAAACCTCTGAGATATGAGGTGTGTAAATTCAGAGTTATATGCAGCAGCTCATTTGATGAAGGTGAATCTAATTTTGTTTGGTCACATCTCTTGAACCTCTTTAATGGTGATTATACAGAGTGAATTGGCCAGGGCTTTCAGTGAGTAAAGTGTTGCCCATGCAGGTGGTCTGTTGAGTGCATGATATTATCAAGAGCAAAGTAGAGCAGGGAACTATGTGTGTGTGTGTGTGTGTGTGTGTGTGTGTGTGTGTGTGTGTGCGTGTGTGCGTGCACGCTGCTGAGTCTGTCAGCAAAGAACAGATGGCTCTCTGAGAATAATTATTGGTATTTTAGATAATTGTGGGTATTTGCTTGCCCTAATAATAACCTAATCTTCCTCTGTCCCCTTCTGCGTCTCCCTTTCTTCTTTTTTTAAGATCTCTTCAGCGTAAAAAAAGGAAGAATAAGTCTGATTTGGCTTATTAAAATTGAAATAACAGACACCAGGTTGGCAGAAAAGTGATGGGTCGTCCACTGCCAATGTGCTGCTCTCATTGTACCACCCTAACAGAGTCTGCTTTCATTCCTAATGCCATTAAATAGAAGATGTCTGCGTGTGTTGATCCGATTACAGTTTTATATGCTTATTTAAAGCAAGGCTTGGTTTCTATTTTTCGTTACTGGAGGAAGACTCAGGAGGATTTCTGAGTCTGTACCTTGTCATGTTTCTACGTTTAATGTCAATCACCGCAAACAGGTAATCTGTGTTGTCTCTTTACAGTCAGATTGTACTTCATCTG